GGTGTGTGGCCTTATGACACATTTCCGGTGATGTCAGGGTGTGTGGCCTTATGAGACACTTCCGGTGATGTCAGGGGGTGTGGCATATGCTAATGAGTTATGCTAATGAGTTCCCCTAGCTCTTTTTCTACGAAACGACCCCTGGCTTCATGTACAGGATGGGGATGAAGTAGGGGCACTACAATGGGAACCTGGAAATATCCCCCCTCTTGCTGATGGAAGGAACCTTCCATTCCAAAAAAGGACACTAGATTTAAAAAGAAGAAGAAGAAGAAGAAGAAAGAATGCCTAACTCTGGCAGCATTCATTAGGGTAAAGATTGGATTGGGAGCAGGGATCAAATTAAAGCTACACATCATTTCTCTAAGCAAATTCAGTTGGGAAACCACCACCACCCTCAATTTGTTTTAATGGTACTATTAGGACTATGATGTAAATGGGGGGGGAGGGGTTTATGCTGTTTCTCCTGACCTGGATAGCCCAATCTTGGAAGCTAAGTAGGGTCGGCTCTGGTCAAGTATATGGAAAGGGCTCTTTTTGCAGCAGGTACTCATTTGCATATTAAGTGACACACCCCTAATGTAGCCAATCCTCCAAGAGCTTACAGTAGCTCCTGTAAGAAGAGCTCTGTAAGCTCTTGGAGGATTGGCTACATTAGGGGTGTGTGGCCTAATATGCAAAGGAGCTCCTGCTACAAAAGGAGCCTGGATGGGAGACCACCAAGGTAGACCAGGGTCACTACACTACACAGAGGCAGGCAATGGGAAACCATCTCTGAAAGTCTCTTGCCTTGAAAACCCTACAGGTCGCCATACGTTGGCTGTGACTTGATGAAAAAATAACATAACATCGCGAGCAGGGGTCATTTTGTAGAAAAAGAGGTGCAGGGACTCATTAGCATAACTTATTTGCATAGGCCACGCCCCCTGACATCACCGGAAGTGTGTCAGAAGGCAACACCCACCGCTCAGGCTCCACTGGACTGTTTTGGATTACTAGCTATTGGGGGGGGGGGAACGTGCAGATCTGTCCTCACAGAGGAGGGAGAGCTTGTACCTGAATAAAACTTGGTCTTAAAGGTGCCACTGGACTGTTTTGGACTGGGGGGAGCTCTGCAGCTTACCTGGCTGCTTCTTGCTCTGACTGAGGGCTGCTGGGAGCAGGGGGTGGGGCTTGTTGCATGTGCCCGCCCCCTGGGCTCTTTACTGCCGGAGCTCCGCTCCTGTGCGCTCCTTCAGGAAACGACCCCTGATCATGAGTCATATTTTGGAGGCCTTTCTTGTGAATCCGTAAGCTGCACTTCTTCATGTGTCATCATTCAGATGCGTAGAGAAATGCAGCTGTGACTGCTTCCACCAAAGGGTGGGAAATGTTGCCCCCACGGGCGAAGCAGGAGTGAGCAGGGCAGAGATGTGTGAGGATGGCATCTGAGCATCTCATCCGTCTGCAGCTTGGTGCTGTTGCTGCCCTTCGGGGTGTCAGTGCTCCGTCAGTGCTGAAGTGCTCCGTGGAGTGCTTAGGATAATGATGAAGCCAGCCCTGGGACCAAAGTGCCCTGACTCGAACGGCCCAGGCTAGCTGGATCCGGTCAGATCTCGGAAGCTAAGTAACGCTGCCAGGGGGGTTGCCCGCTCAAAGGGCCTCTGACCCACCAGCCTGTATCTGGCCAGAAGGGGGAACCCCGCCCCCAAAGTGCCCAGATCAGGCCGATGTGCCCAGTACGATGGCGTCAATCGGAGTTTTCAAGCTGAATGCTAGAGCGTCCACTGGAGTTTTCAAGTGGTATATGGTATAGAGTTTTCAAGCCGAATGCTAGACCATCCACTGGAGAAGTGCCTAGCGTGATGATGACGTGACGGGTGACGTCATCGTGGCGCGTGCATGCAAATGTCCCGGACCGAACCTAGTCTCTCCTGCTGCAACTGGTAAGCGACCAGGCAACCCTAAAGCTAAGCAAGGTGAGCCCTGGTTAGTACTTGGATGGGAGACCATCAAGGAAGTCCAAGGCTGCTACACAGAGGGTGGGCAATTGCAAACCACCTCTGCTCATCTCTTGTCTTGAAAACCCTACAGGATCACCATAAATTGGTTACAACTTAGGGCTGTTATGTAGAGCGGGGGACTCCAGTGCCGCTCCGGGAGTGCGTGTGCGCACACGAAGTGCGCGCCGCAACCACGTCACCCGGAAGTGACGTAACCACACCGGGCATGCCGGGGGCGGGGCCACAATCATCCAAGGGAAAACCATAGAGTTTTCCCTCGGATGACCGCGGCCCCGCCCCCAACACGCCCGACACGACTGCGTCACTTCCGGGTGACGTGCTGACGCCGGGCATGTCGCGTGCTTTGGGGGTGGGGTTCTCCCCGAGGCCCGATCTGCCGGCGGCGGGTAACGGGCCTCTTGGGCGGGGTTTTCCCCGCCCCCCCGGGGGGACTTGGCAAGCCTATTACAACTTGATGACAAAAAAAAAGAATCTAAAGAAACTTGATGTTTCAGCCTCTTCTGCCACAGCACCACAGTCCCAATCAGGATCAATCTGGGGCAGGAGTTCCCAATTTTGGGGCTCTAGTCCACTACCGGCCACCTGACCGGCGGGGGAAGCCCCACCCTGAACAGCCCCCTCTCGCATTGGCATCACCACCACGATGACATCACGTGGAAGTGGCTTCATCATGCTGGGCGCATCGCACAGCAACTCTCTATCATTTTAGCCAAAATTCTATGGTAACCATAGAGTTTTGACCAAAATGCTAGAGCGTCGCCATGTGACACGCCCAGCATGATGATGTCACTTCTGTGTGACTTCATCACGCGACAGTGTCACATGCAGCGATGTCACCGTGCCCTCCCCACTCCTGGAAGACTCCCTCCCACTCCTGCTGGCTGGGTAAGTAGACCTGGCAACCTTAGGATCAAGCCCCTGAGAGCTTCCAAATGGCATTCCCATGGAGAATGCGCACCTGTAGAGTGACCTCCTGTCCCGGTGGTGGTCATGTTAGGGTTGCCAACTGCCTGGAGAAAAAAATGACTTGTACTTTTAGTGGAGGCTTAGTGGGGTGTTATTTGCCAGCTGATGTTATTCTTCTCCACGTCATGAAAGGCTTTGGCTTCCCATGTCTAAACTTAAGCCTCTGTTAAAGGGAGAGGACCTTTTTCTTATTGCTTGTTGGCAGCCCTGTGCGTGTTAAATGCTACTATTAATTTGGGCCCGAGTTTTGTCTTTGTTGTAGGCCCACGGACATCACCTAGAGGTGAAACATATAGAACCTTGTTTTGCCCCATTGTCCTTCAGCATCCATTATTTGAAACCCAGCCCCCCCTCTGAGAATCACTGTTATAGGACATGGGCTTGCTCCTGGGTGTTCAAGCGGAGGGTGGTCGTATGTGACAGAGTGAGGGAAAATGGACCTGAAAGGGTAGATCGCAGGCTAGTAAACTAGATTGGGCTGGTTCTACACAAAATGAGGTGGTAGAGTCCTGAGATGATGGAAGGACTGTACAGATTCAGAATACAGGTGAGGCACCATGTTTTAAAATGCTCCCCTGAAAGCAGAAAATGATTAGAATAGGGAGCGGTTTGAGCTAAAAACACTTGGCTGTGCTGTGCTAACCGTCTTCTTGCAGGGAGGGGTTAACATGAGGGAGCATTCAAAAATGATTACCCCCACACCTGTAGTCTTAAGTGGTAGAGCCCACTCTATTAGTTTAAGATCCTACCGTTTCATTCTACTGCATTTATAGACAAGGCCTCAAATATAGCTTACATTTGTGTCTGGGGGCGGGGTGGGGAGTCCACACCAACATGCCTTGCCTAAGCCCCATCTGCGCCATCACTTGTCCCAGTCTTCCTCCTGGAAGCTCAGAGCATTGTCCCTACTTCTCCTCATATTATCCTTACGACGATCCTGTGAGGTAGGTTGGTCTGCGAGAGTGGCTCCACTCATGGCTCCCAACCTATTTGTGAATCTCTTGCATTGTGCAGGGGGTTGGATTAGGTGACCCTGGAGGTCCCTTCCAACTCTATGATTCTGTGATTCTAACTCCTGGTGATCTAACCCTTTCTCCTCTAACCAGGCGAGTCTGTCTCCGTGATCAAACACACCGATCCCGTCCCAGACCCCCGTGCTGTGAACCAGGACAAGAAGAACATGCTGTTCTCAGTGAGTGTGCCCTGGAACTTCCTCCCCATTAACATCAAACAAGGCTTAAGATCCAGTGTTGTCCACACAGGCTCAAATGATACATTCCCCAGGGGGGCTGCGAACTCCCAGGGGCTGTTGGCTTGCATTCCCTTGATAGATAAGCTGGAGCGGGTGGGAGCACATTGTTCATTCTTGCTTCTTTGCCTCTTCAAGTAGCCTCCAATAAAGCAGAGTTACAGGACAGGAAATGCTAATGCTGATGTGTTAATGTAATATCCTGTGTTTTCATTAGTTGCACATGACAGAGGAAAAGAGAGGGGGAGGTGAGGCTGCGGTTGGTTTGGTGCCACCCATTTACTTCCCTGGTATTGTGTAAATTAAGAGAGGTATGACATGACTGTTTCAGTATTCCCCACCCCCACCCCACAAACAGCAGTCAATGAAATGTCTGGGGGTAGGGTTGCCAACCTCCAGGAAGCAAATTAAACAAAAAATGAAACCCATGCAAAAATAACGAAAAAAATTCAACAAATATAATGATATAAACTTATATAAGTGGTGCAGTTTATCATTATATAATATATATATTA